TTAATTTTCTTTTGCGTGATATGTGTTAGAGATCTGTATAATGTGTTACATTCTAAGGGCAGAGCCTGTTTGTTCCAAGACTTGTATACAAATTTAAAACTTGGACAGAATAGTAATTTTTCAATGGAAACTCAACAAATATATAATGGTCATAACGGTCCGAAGCTTTTAATGTTTAAATAATTCAATATGAATTTATATATACACACACACGCACACACTCTCTCTCTCTTTTTAATTCCAAATTCGATAATAGTGACAGCTTTCATTCATTTCTCATGTGGCGATCCGCTACCGGAGGTCCAAGGAGACTCGCACCAATTCTCGCAAGTATTCGAAACACGCGAAATCCTTTCATATGGAATCTCGATCTAAAGACTCCTCAGGCATCTTATTGACGAGTCCAGTAGTGGGGGCCAGGACGAAACGAAACGCCGCGGTAGATAAAACAATATCTCGCATAGGCCACAAGGGCCAAACTTAAATTATGTATATTGTGTTTCACTGAAATGCATTCATCGATAAAGCGGTCTCCGATGAAAAATCCTGCTTTCTGATTGGTTGTAAAGCCTACAACGCATGTCGGACGCAGTGTGAATCTACCATTATTTCAAAAATATTTCATACCTTCGGTATGATCTCACTTGCGATAAATTATAAGCTCTTAAATATTGCTAACTCTTATTCGTAAAAAAAAAAAAACATAATCACGAATAAGCCACTTAGAGCTAATTATTTATAATAATTTATATAATACGCCTATTGAGGTTTGTATAAAGATCAGCTGTGAATCCGCGATATTCTTAGTTTTGATTAGCCGCTATCAACCAATCAGCAAGCAAAATTCATTTGCACTTCTCTGATAATATATGATTCTACTTTAAAGTATTTGTAGCGAGACTTTGACCACAAGATGATAATCACGGAAAGCATTTATAGATTAGATAGTAATAAAACTGCTTAAATAAACTGTTATCGGTTCTATTTCTATATTTATTGGAAATTGGTACGTTTTGACGAAAAACAACAAGCAAGTACACGAAAAGTTTTCATTGTATTATTTGGAGTCTTTGATTTCATGTAGTTATATCTTACTTCAATATACATGCCACCTGCTGAAATGAAGTTTTTTATTTTGACGTTGTGGATTTCATCCTTAATTAGTATACATTGTCAAATTATAACGCTGAATGGTGCATGGAGAGGGACTATTAATATCTGTGGTAAATATTACTTACTAGATATCTTTTTCGATAAAAGTATCCATATAGGAGCTACATATTTACATAGTATATAATATAAAGATTGTGTCTTTGCGCGTATGTGTTGCATGCATACATGCAGTAATTTAGTATACGATCAATAGATGCATTTAGTACTATGACCGTTCACTGAGTGATCAGTGAGCTCTTGTATCTGTTTGTATTTTTAGATCTAATGGGATATTTCAATCATATGCAAGATCGTCGTACCGAATGCACCCATTGTCTCACTACTAATCATGCAAGTAACATGGGAAGCTTTCCAACAAGAAATACAGATGACAGTGTGGCATCCTTGATGGAAACTTTTTGAATCATAATGAATAATGATGGAATATTACTGAAAATTACTGAATTTCATATTGAAATCTCCATTAGTTGATTTATTTTCAGTATTATTTTATTAAGATTTCATTACAAACTATTAAAATTTTATGGAGATTTTATTACAATTTATTAAAATTTCATTAAATACAGTTTATTAAGATTTTATTATAATTTATAGATTTTATTAATAAAATACAATATAAAATATTGTTACATTTAGCTTTGCTAAATACAGCTTACTGGTAAAAAATACAATACATATACTAAAATACAAATGAAAACGTGTTTAAAATTACAGAGTGGTTGCCTTGTATTTTTATTAATGTGACTACGATAATCATTTAATTTTTAATAACTGTTTTGTTTTTTAATATATCTCTATTTTAATACTTTCATATGCAGAGTAATTAGAATAATCATTAAAAATTATGCAATTCCATTTAAAAAAGTGGAAGTAAATTTGAAGTCTTAAAAAATATGACTTTTTTGAGAAAAACTTTTTGGTTATCATAATATATTGTATGTGTCTCTTCAAATTGAACAATTTGTCTTTCTGTGGTATTTTTTCTTTTGTGGTTATTTTTTCGTATCATCAAAAATAACAGAAATATTTTAAATGATCAAGTTATAGGAAATACTCTGTATATGGTATATGTACAAAATGATTTATTAATTATAATTGCAATAATTGTTTTTCCAGATAAGAAGCCTTCTGAAGACTGCAATAATGGTAAGAGATGAAAACTTAATTTTATTAAATTATATATAATTTCCTGCAAATCTAGTAAACAACTTTCCTTATATTAAAAATGTTCACATATAAATTATAGTAAAAGTTATTCTATTCTACAGATATGAATTTCAATGCGACTGTTCCTGGAGGAATTTATACAGACTTATATAAAAATAACATAATAGAAGACAACTTGCTTGGAAGAAATGATATCAATAATCGTTGGGTCGGAAATCAATCTGTCATTTACGTTAAAAATTTTAAAGGTAATTAATCATAAGTGTATACACATACATACGCATGCATGCACACAAACACACACATATACATACATACCTATACAGTACACTTTATCTTAGGGATGTCCAACGGACGTCAATCGTTAGTAGCAAATTTATACTGGAACCTACTTTCTCTAACAGCCCTGGGATTTTCATGAGCCCATACATGATAATTTCTTTGATTAATAATTCCTCTTCTTATAAGTACAGCTTCCGTCTAGATTATTTTTAATGAAAATGAATTATCATTGTCAGATTGCTCAAAAAACCGTTGCTAAAATTCAATCTCTTGAAATATCCTGAGATAATAAATTCTGTATCTTTTGAACATAGAACGGATGGCAGTTGTCACCTCTTATAAAGTTTGGCAGACTCTATAGCGTGGTAATCGTAATGCATCTGATGCTCTACAGACGCTTGTCTTAGGATTGTTATCAAAGTGGCGCAGGACATGATTTTCTACTTGTATATTTGTTCTTAACGGATCTTGATGAATTGAAAATGAGCCGGTCTCTCGCAGTCTATTAAAAGTTATTGTAATGACTCGCCGATCTGGTACTCTTCTGTTTGGAAATCTGCGTGCATACTCTCGCACCGTCTTCATAGTATTACCGTCGCAAAAACTATACACGAAAACCATATCAGCATATTCAACATTAGGATATGTATGCGGTATATGACAGGAATGATTCATTTAATAGCTTCTAACGAGTAACTGACGAATTTATAGAAGAAAGGCGGAAATGTAAACGAACATAAAAAGTTTTCACCTGAAAACGGAATTATGATTATTGTTTTTGTGTACGATTTTAGTCGTTTAAATACTTTAAACGCAGCACAAGAACGAAACAAAAACGGATATCTCTACAAGACTTTTTTTGTTAGTTTGTTAATCCTCTATACACTTTCGAAGTTTTGACGTTTATATTCCGGATACCCTGTATATATGTGTATATATGAGATATAGTATTAAATGACAGTTTAAAATTAAAAATAATTTAAATATGTTATTTTTAGTGAGTGATAATTTTCTAAAAGCTCGCAAGATAGTCTTAGTTTTTGATGGAATTGATACGTTTGCCAATATTTATTTGAATAATCACATGCTCGGAGAGACTTCAAATATGTTTTTGAGATATATTTTTGACGTGACAGATTTTATTAAGGTAATTAAAGAGATAGAAAAAGTAATGTAAAATATACGTATTGTGGTAATACAGTTTGTTTATTTGGAATATGCAGAAAAAACAGAATCAATTGAAAGTCATATTTCGTTCGGCTGTTAAAGTAGCCGAAGATTTATATAATGAACAAAAAAACTATTATGTTGTACCACCAGTATGTGTACCTAAGGAATATAATGGACAATGCCATATAAACCACATTCGTAAGATGCAAGCTAGTTTTTCATGGGATTGGGGACCTGCTTTTCCCTCAATTGGCATTTGGTAATATAAACAATCGATTATTTTAAAATATATATTTTGTTTTCTTTTACTATAACTACATTTTTACTGGCAAAACTGTAATACAAGATATTTATAGGAGAGATGTTAAACTGATTTCCGTAAATGATATATTAATCAATGACATTACGACTGACATACGCAAAGAAAATAATGTCTGGAACATTCTTATTACAATATTTCTTGAGGCAACGCAGAGTAAGAACGAAGAATTTACACAAATCAGTTGTCATATAGCGTCGATATTGCATATTACACAAAACAAATTTATTAGCAATATTAGCGAGGTTGTACTCGATGCAAGTAAAAAGTACATAAATATTAACATTTCGCTCATCGTGCCTGCGGTAAGTTCTAATCTATCGAAAAAACATTAAAATGTAAGTGGTGTCAAATATATTTTACAATATTTTTACGTAAAATTATTTTGTAAATATATTCTAAAGCATAATGAAAGAAATAAAAAATAATATTGCAAAAAAGAAGCAAAATTAAAATATAATAAGGTAAAAATTAATAGTAAAGATTCTTTAATAAAATAAAAATTAAATAAAAAAGAAATTAGTGCGTAAAATAAAAAAATTTTTTTTTTTTAAATTATCTTGTATATGTCTAATACATGTTTTAGTTTTACTGACTGGATAATTAGTTTATGAAAAAAAAATCGTAAATGTCATTTTTTCGGATTTTTGTTCAAAGTTTAGATATTTTAACAAAAAATTGTTTATAACTTTTTAACGACCATTTAAAAAAATTAAATTTATATATATGTTTTTTCACAGAATAATATGAGGAATCGAATCCAATTATTTTCAGTCGGTAGAACGTTGATTGGTCGGTTAATGTATTTTCTAAACGACTTTTCTGCAGGGTAAACCGCTCGTCTAGATGTATAATAATTGTTATACATTCCCTAATTTGGGGGAATTTGTTAGATTATTAGAGTTGCGTTTTAAAACCGATGATTGTTCGGCACGCAATTTGGGGGGACTATGTATATTAGTTAATTATTAATTACACGTCAGCCTTAATAAGACGTTATTCTTATTTTGGGCAAATATTGCGAAGAATATTACTACGTCGACCTTCATAAACAATCACTATATACATCGTAATAATATTGTCTGTAAAGTTTTAATTCAATCTGAAGGGTGTCCCGTTTGAAAATACAGCTATGATCTTGACATATGTTGTCAAGATCATGACTCTGGGTGATCTTGAAGAGGTTTTAGTCGACAATTTTGTCCTTCGTTAAAAAGTTATTAACAACAAAAGTTTTATCATATAATACGAAAATTCTTTGCTTTAATATATAGTTAAGAAATAAATACTTAAAAAGTGTGTGTGTGTGTGTGTGTGTAATGGTCAGGATGCCGTAGAGAACTGGTGGCCGAATGGTTATGGCAAGCAACACTTGTATTATCTAACCACTACTGTGACAACGGCAAATGATGTACTATTCAAACGGATTCGTATAGGCTTCAGAATGGTGCAGCTCATTGAAACATCTCTGAAAAAAGGACTGAGTTTCTTTTTCCGCATAAATGACATACCGATATTCATTAAAGGTAGCAACTTTATTCCAGCCAGTATTTTCCCCGAGCTAGGCGCAAAAGAAGATACCATCAGACACTTGTTGTTATCTGCCAAAGAGACGCATATGAACATGTTAAGAGTATGGGGCGGTGGTGTTTACGAGTCGAAATTATTTTACGACTTAGCCGACGAATATGGGATTATGATTTGGCAAGATTTCATGTTTGCATGCGCTATGTATCCTATGAGTGATTCATTCTTGAAGAGCGTAAAAGAAGAAATATCGCAAAACGTAATACGTTTGAAAAACCATCCAAGCATTGTTGTTTGGGCTGGTAATAACGAAAACGAAGCGGCACTTTATGGTAATTGGTATGGTACCGGTTCTGCTCAGGTATATAGAGAAGATTATGTAAAACTTTACGTGAATCTATTGAAGAGAGAAATGGAGAAACTAGATCTAACAAGACCATTTGTCGTGTCTAGTCCGGGCAACGGGGCGTTTGAAAAAACATATAATTATACTGGAGTGAATCCTTATTTAAATCTTTACGGTGATGGTACATATACGGATAAGTTTTTCTTGTATGAGTCTTAAAAATGAGATTGAATATATTAACGTTGAATTTGTTTTTAGTTCACTATTATAATTACATTAGAAATGGATGGGACATCACTCAGTATCCTCAGACAAGATTTTGCTCCGAATATGGATTTCAATCTTGGCCATCGATTTACACGATAGCAACCGCTATAGAAAATATAAAAGATCTTCATATTGACAGCGACTTCGTAAAGCATAGACAACATCAGCCACTCGGCAATCAATATATGCTGCAGCTGATCTTGTACAACTTTGTTGTACCGCAAAGTAACGACAGCATCCGAGATTTCGCAAGTTATATATATCTCAGTCAAATCAATCAAGCTGTCTCTATGAGAATACAAACAGAAAAATATCGGCAAACCAAATCTGAAGTGAATTCTATAGGTGAAGGTATGACAATGGGAGCTCTCTATTGGCAATTGAATGATGTCTGGCAAGCTCCGTCATGGTCTTCCATAGGTAAGCAAAGGATATATAAGTTTGTCTGTGTATATATATATATATATTTGAAACTTGTATATATAAAAGTATTTTTCAAAGCTCTTAAAATGTTAAATGTAAGATATATGAAGAGAGAATATGAAATCGGATTATTTTGCTTTTATAATATACTTTCTTCTTTTTATTTAATATGAAAGTACTATATATTGATCATTCTAAGTTTATTTTAAGATATCATTCTATTTTTTGCATATTACAAAAATCTTTTCCATATTATATTTACAGATAAAGAAGGTCGCTGGAAAATGCTTCACTATTATGTCAAGGATTTTTTCGCGCCTATTATTGTTACATCGCATTTGTCCATTTCCAACGAACTGTCCATATATATAGTGTCTGATCGATTGTACACTTTAACAAATTGTACAGTGAAACTTCATGTTTTCAAATGGAATTCCATGAAACCTATATTTGTATTATTCTTCAATGATATTGTAATAGTCAGTATATATGTATATAATATATATTTGTATATATATACTGTATATATATAATCATAGAATATTAGGGTTGGTATATATAATTCATATTTAAATGTCTGTATATCCATATTAATTTCCTTTCAGGAATCTAATAAAGCCATAAAAGTTACGTCCTTTTGGTTAGATGCATTCCTATCTGAAGTGGGTTGTGGAACATTGGAATCTGCTAAAAGATCTTGTATCGCCATTTTATCTCTCACGGATAAATCTGGATCCCTAATTGCACCAATTAATTATATATATTCTGATGCGTTAAAAAATGCAGATATACCAGTAGCCAACATTACTGTAAGCTAATTAATATCACATATAAAATATGATATATTGTAGATATTATGTATAACAATAAATACTGTCTGAAAAATATTGACATACAATATTTTTTGTTTTAGATGAAGACCAAAGAGAATCATTTACCCGGGAAACTTTCCAATTATGCAGATTTTAAAATTGTATTATCGACAGATAAGATAGCGCTTTTCGTATGGTTAGAAACAAATATACGAGGTCGTTTTTCGGAAAATGGCTTTCATATGTTTGTAAAAAAGAAAGAAATTATTTTCCATGCATATGAAGCAACCACAGTTGAATTATTGCAAAGCAATATAAAACTCATGGATATATCAAATATTTACAATGCATATACATAATATGGCAATTTGTATAGTGATTACTTTATTAAAAGAACAAAGGACTCCATACGTTTCTTATGGAAAAATATTCCTGGTCATATTGCTCCGTTTTGAGATATGTTATATTTCTTGTGATTCTGAACAAATGTTTCCATTGTCACATTCACATAAAATCAATAAATAAAAGGATATAGCGCTTTGAAGTCACAGAATTTGAGTGCTGCCATACCTCCTTAAGATAACTTGATGCTTTATGTGTAATATATACAAACAAACGTTATATATATATATATATATATAACGTTTGTTTAACGCGAGCCCCCTCGCCTCTCACATCGGAGTTATTATTGCACATGTAAAACTGATGCAAGAACCTTGGGATGTTGCGCTCATATAACGAGTATTATATAAGCCCCTTAGTTTATGCCAGGTGGCATAAGGCTTATGTTTATAAGATATACTTATACCACTTGTCAACTAAGGGACTCATGGTTTTTAGGCTATGCACGACATCAGCTTAAGGTGAAATATCTAAGCAGAACTGTCTTATCGAATTATGAATGTTGATAGGAATGATCAAGAATAGGATTATGTATATTATAGGATAGAGTGCTGTATATGAGGCATCTCTGGTTACAAATTACTATAATAATTGTACATACAATTCTATAATAATACACATAAAAACTTTTTATTTTGATAAATTTCTTTATTTAATTATACTTTGTATCGCGTCAAACTGTTAAAGAAAGTATCATAATGTAAATAAATTTCAAATACCATAAAAATAATAGACATTATTCTTATTACAGCTTTAATGACTGTCGTGGACTGATATTTACTTTCAGGATACTATAATTTAAGATATAATAGATGTACAAAATGTTAAGAAAATTTATTATCATATTTTACATATGTGACAGGAAAAGTCTAAAAATAAATGTTAAATCTTAAAGTCTCTCTCAGTATTATAATATACATATATCTTTTCTTTGTTTTTACACTAATTAGTATAGAAAAATAAAATACATGTAGTAATCTCAAAATATGGTAAATTAAAATTGTATAACGTGTGTACATGTTCATACAGAGTCTGTTTAAAGTGTGGAAATCCCTAAATATTTTGAAGATGTAAATCCGACTAGACAACTTCTACGTGGTACACGTAGTGCTAATGTTGGCTGTATTGTACATTTCAAACATCATAACTCGAAAAGTCTTTAATGAAAAAATATATAAGGTTTTTGGAAAGCCCTCAACGTCATCTATTAGATTCTGGAATAAAAAAAAGATGTAGTCCATTTAAAGAAATCGATGTGACCTTGACCTTACCTTAGCGACGTTATCCAAAGTCAAACTGATGTGATTAGTAAATAGATTTTTTAAATCCTACAACTTTTGTTTGCGACATATTACTTAAGAATGCTTACTTTCCGAAATATTAAGGGGTTTCCACACTTTTGATAGACCTTGCATATAAGTTATATTAAATCATCATACCATGATATTGTCAGGAATTCATTTTTAAAATTCTCGATAGAAGAATGATGAAAGATTGAAAATCTATTGCCATTTAAAACTAAATTTTTTAAATTTGTATATATTAAGAATGCGTATAAATAAGAAAATAACTTATTTTAATTATCCGTACAACATAAATATCTGTAAGTCTAATAAGCGTAAGTTGAGAGACTCCTGGGTTAGTTCTCTTATCACATAAGAATATATAAAGCGCAAATTTCATATTTATGTTTGCGCTGTATGTTTAGTCACCTCTGTACTAGTTAAAAATAAATATTTTTATAAAATTTAAAATATACGACAAGTTCAATCATCATCATACAGTACTTTCATAAAATATTTATATCAAACTTTTCTCTTAGGTCCGTATTCACACCTCATTTTAATCGATAAACAAATTTTTATTGATTAACACGCACATCAAGTAAAAAGTTCAGGTTACATATTATTGTATAAAACCTCAGAAATAAATATGTGCATTTACTGATAAAAGTACAATGTGAATACGGATCTTAATCTTTAATAAAAGTTGGAGCAAGCCTGTAACTCGCGTAATATTGTTAAGAAGAGATATTAATTTCTGTTAAAATCGTAATATTATTTTGACTTACACTCTGACGTTCTTTCGTGGTTAGGATACGTCGGTAGTACAACTTCCTCCTCAGGCGAGTGTAAATAATGTCGACTTAAATTGATGACAACCATAATACAACACAAGAGCAAAGGGCCAAAAATTGCTCCTTCCACACCTAAACAAAAGATTCCACCCGCTATTGATAAACCTGTTAGATAAGGATGCCCACCACTAAAATAAATGGAATGTATGTAAAAAAACAATGATGATTGAAGATATATATTAACATATTACGAAGTATAATTTTACCCCTTGATCTCTTTATAAAATTCCGTCACTACTATGTTACACGGAAGGAAATGGAAGAGAAAAAATGAGATAGCAATTATTGATCCACGGGTGAACCAAAGTTCTATAGTAGCCGGAATACAGGCAAAGTATGCGTCTAGGAAAGGAACTGCCCCTAATATAGTTGCAAGGGCCGATGGTAAATAGACAATTTTCACTTGGAATAAATTATGTATGAACCATGTCCACATGCCAAAGAATGAGGCGAGTTTAAAAGTGGCTGCAAATACCCCAATTACTGCTTCTTGTAATGATGTAGCAAATCTAGACAAAATTGATATTATTTTACTTCGTACAGTATCATATATTTCATGATAGTAACGTTCAAGTAACATAATCATATTATGTGAATATTATATTGATATATAGAACATACTCTTCATACATATAGTATACTTGTTAAAACAAAGCATATATTTTGTATTTATATTATAACACAAAATATACATATTTTGCCTAGGAATGTTATTCTGTACACGTTTACCGATAATTGTTGGATATCGTTGCACAACTTTTTTTTATCATATAAAATACCTATGCAATTCACATAACGACACCGACAACTATCGATAGACGTGTACAAAATAGCACCTCTGTACTAGTTAAAAATAAACATTTTTATAAAATTTAAAATATATGACAAAAGGTAATCATAAATCAATTTTCAGATTATAAATAATTACCTGTGACAACTAATAGGACTAAATATTGTTGTCAGTTCGATGGGTTTATAAGTTTTATCGCTGGAACTGAGTAAATAAAATAAAGTTGTAAAAAACACAACCTGAAATAACAAATTGTTACATCTCATGCTTTTTCTTTTCTATAAAACTTTGCAAGAATATGTTGCATACCGTGCTGAGTACAAAATTAAGTACCGCTGATCCACTCATGAGTATAATATAAAACAATTCTGTAAAAACTGTTAATATTACAGACATATTGCCTTTGACAATGCTCCAAACAGAGTCAAACACTGATGTCAAAATGCCAATATTTTCTTTGGCAAAATTCTGTATACTAGTCATATTGAACAAATCTGAAAGAAGAAGCAATAGCGTTCTATTGTATTACATGCAAAGCAATTTTTATTATTAATAAAAACAACATAATTTTATGTGAAAAGAAAACCAAGGAAAAAATGTAATTTAATAAATAATGCTAAATTTTGTAATTTCTTTAGACAAAGTATTTACGTATAGGTGTTTTTCCAAAGCTATCTTTGAAGCTCTCCCAAGCAGAATACGCAGACATAGCATCTACAGTAGGACCCACGAGATTCGGATCCATATTTGACATCATCCATGCTTGATAAAGACGATCCCAGAGCTCTAAGACTTTCTTCTCCATTTGCTCAGCTTTCGCTGGTTCTAGATCTTTTACAAGACCTCGAATCTGAATTAAACAAGCTGGATAAATAAACTTAGTGTTTATACACATGCAAAATGGAAAAATAAACAAGGTAAATCTTACGCCATCCGATATAGCACTTCGTCCATATGTGTAAACGTTATCTAAAACACTGTTAACAGACTCTTCCCACTTTTCTGGAACCCAATCAATATCAGGATTGCTCATCAAAGTGGAATTTAATATTTCACCTGTTACTTGAACAAGGTGCAAGCCTTCTGCATAGATCTACATAAATTAGACAGAATTTTTTCAGTAAACAAGAATGACTTAAATTGAAAGGAAATTTTGTCCATCCAAATGCATATTTTAAATACAAAGAAACTTTTTTTGTTCAATTGGATTCAATTGGATTGAAAAACTATTTAGAATTTTGAATTGAAAAATATTCCTAGGATAAAGAAAAGCTGATATTATCTTTAGTTGAAAGACATTGGAACGTGTTTGAGCCAATTCGTATAAATAAATAAAAATGTATTTGAATTGAAAAGGATTTAGTTTAACGTTTACGAATGAGTATTTCTGAAAATCTGAATCTATTTCAAACCATTTTAATCCATTCTCATTTACCGGAATGTTGTATAGTAATGGACAAAACGGTTATAATTTTTTTTTAGTAGATTTTGGAATGTGGCTTGTTCATTAAGTGATTGGTTCTCATTTATATATCTAACCATTTATGTTCAATCACTATACGAGCAAGGCTAAATTCTGAAACTTATAAAAAAGTGTTGCAACCATTCTATCCACAATTGTACATACAATCTTACGTTAGTGTATACAGAAATACGCAAATGTTTGTCACAAACCTGTATCATAATAAAAATAGATGTACAAGTAGTGAAAACAATCAAGCCAAGTATTACAGATGTAGTTGCTACTGCATTGACGGAGTTGTTCAAAATATTTCTCAGTTTTTCGTCCACAATAATGCTTATTTTATAGAGACCTCTGATATTGGAGGGTATAAGTGCTTGATGTCGATCCATGCACCACGATTTGAGTATTTCTATCATCGAATTGCAATTCCTGAGTATCATTTTCCAAAAACCGAAATAGCTACCCAACTGCTTGACAATATAATATGCCAACGGAATCACCAGAACGTGCGCGATCCATCTGTGTTTCCAGAGAAGCATGCCGGCACATGCATATAGCGCCCCATACATGTACTTATCAGTATCGACCTCATCATCTTGTATATCTAGAGATGTTCGTAATTCGGCTCTTATTTTGTTTAACAAATAACGGTCGCGTAATGTTGCACGATTCATATAATGTATGTTATACACAGGCCTACGTGTTGTCATGCCCATTACGGTGGATAAACCATCATCCGTGTCCAAAGATAATGACTTTACGCCATGTCTCAATGTACTACATATTTTCTTGATATCCTTCACATCGGCAGATGGCGAACCTTCTGCTTTTTCTTGAGAGTAAATCGGTGTGTTTATGCTTTCGCCTTCGGGAATACAATCATTCGTCTGTTCATCGAATAAGGTTGATTTATCTTCTTGCTGGCTCGGCACTAACTCGTTTGTTAAAGCAAAACTCGCTGCTTGCGAGAACGTTAAATGTCTACCATTTAGCTCATGACCATCCATAATGAGTATCACTTCGTAAATAAATCCTATTACGCATAGAATTTGGAGAGCAGCAAAAACCAAGACCTGGTAAGTACCCACTATGCTCGATAGATACATGCTGATGATGAACCATATCACAAAGGACATGTAACGAAAACGAATCGAATTTGATGGTGTCCAATAGATGTACAGAATTATGAAATAACCAATGAGTATGGTAGAGACCTGTAAGATAAGTCAATTAAATGATTAGAGAAGATAATATCATAATGTTCCTATACTTATCTGATACACACACATGCGCACACGCACACACATGTATATATACATCAGGGAATAAATCAGTTATTTTTCTGCTACTTTTATAGTAGTGAACTATATATTATTATAATTGCACTCTAATTACCACGCTTACTTATGCTCTCAATGCTATTATTAAAATGTATTTATTGTTTGAATTTTGAGAGCTCTTAATATCATAATATGTTCCAATTTTGGGGTGTTACATTATATTATAAAAAATTTGCAATATTATTACTAAATCATTATTACAAAAAGTAACAGCTATTACAGTAATTAGTGCTTTCCATTCCCTGATACATATGTACATACATGTGTGTGTGTGTGTGTGTGTAAAAAATAAATTAGAAAAAGAAATTACCATAAAGATGTTGCATGTCAGAATGAAAAATCCAGAAATAATGCTAAATATCTGAAACATTCTCCAGGCAAATAACATTATCACATTAGGAGTGAAATGATACAAGCCTATAGCCAATAATGCTAGCAATGCTGTCCAAATAATATATTTGATATGCATCCATAAAAATGAACCCACTCTCTCAGAAACATTATCGAACATATGTATCGGCAACAAGCTGACATTGACGATCAGTAAGGTGCGTGATGCCTCCACTTTGATGAACCAAGATTGCACCACTGTGACCAGCAAACACTTAAATGGGAAGAGAACAGAACCACACAGCAAAGCCCAGATTAAAGGTTTAACAAAAGGTTTCAGGATAATGTAGAGACCATAGCCGGCTACCGAGACGAGACACAGGAAGAAAAGCGCGACGGCGTTATAGATTCCCTGCTTCAGGGCTTTCTCTTGGCCTACGTTAAAGCCTGACAGCATGTTGAAGAGATTATCCATTGGTGAGCGAACATTTTCCATTGTTATGTAGTAGATAGTTGATTAGCTATATAACAGTGACAATAACTCGATTCAAGCTACTTGAGCACTCTTCAAACCGTTCTCGGGACGTCATCACGTTTTCATCAGTTTTCGTTTTCTTGATATCCGTTTTCCTGGCAATTTTCCTATAGGGAGATTTTTCTCTTCTTCTACAGTTTAATAGCTCTTGCCTCAAACAAACTCAATGTCAATTGTTGAGGTGATCAGCTGATCAAAATACTTCCTGGGTCTGTTCTTTACTTCTGCACTACCTGAACTGGTGCAATAAAATTGATCACCGACGACGAGGCCGCGTTGTTGACGAAGCGACTTGGCTCCAGCACACCAGCGCGATTTGCGACGCGATACGCGACATCCAATCAATGTACTGCTTTTCCAAAAGAATTGTACGTTTATTGGATAACGCGCGTCGCAAATCGCGCTGGTGTGCTGGAGCCATAATGTAGGATTCACACTGCGTACAACGTCCAACGACGACGGTATTGAACTATTAACACATATGTAGTACGAGTAAAAATCAAAATGGAAAGAAACTTATTTAACGAATTCATTTCAAAGTCTTGTGTAGAACCAGATCTGCAATTATGGGTGATAATGGTAAAAAAAGAACACCATATGATTATAGATTTTTTATCAAACGTAAAAAAAAACGTCAAGTTGAGGATTAAATATACCTGTATAAATTCAGTTTGTGTATTCTTATTTCTTCTTAATTAAATCTCACCTGCGTTCAATAATTAAGTCTATTGGAATGTTATGAATAAGCAGACAACGTCAAAAGAGATGAGAATAGAATATTGCGTAATTTTTAATTTTGATATATTATTAACTAATAAAACTTTTTACATGACTATATATCAGGCAAAGTCTAATGCAGTCTGTTGCCACTGATAAATTGGATTACGTGGATAGAATGGAATCGATATATTGTCGGATAAAACACATACACTCTTGTGAATAGAAATCCGGCCATAAAGTAATTATGGAATTAAAATTAATATAGAGATGGAAGGAACAAGATTTCGATAAATACACGTAATTTTTTGAAATCATGGCATCCAATACTATCAAAAACATACCAAGTACCTAAAGTTTACAAATCAGGGAATCCACTACTAGAGAAAACCTTGAAACGCTATGTCAGCTTTCCTGTTACCATCGAAATAGCTCGTATACTATCGTTAGTACATCCATTTTCGGTTTGGAAACTACGTGGCTACATACATTTTCTGACCTTATCGATAAAATCAGAGAACGTCGAAAATGGCTATACTACCACATTTTTTAAGATAATGTATTTATTAACTAATAATATAATAAATTTATTAACTTTTTAAATAATTATACTTTTATTTAAACATCATACATTGGAAATTTAGCTAAATGTGGTTGTTGCATATCTATTAAAAAATAAATAACACCAGCAAGACCTGAAAACAGAAATAATAAATGACATTATGTAAAAAACTTATTTGAAATAATACGAAAGAATAGATCAAATATAAACAAGAATTCTTTTTTAAAATTTTTTTATATGAAATAAAAATACAAAACATTTTTTTATTTCTCTATATAATCTCCTGCTTCGGGAACGCATTTTCCCTATCTAACTGGAAATTTTTTTATTTGTCATTATAAAAGGAAGATGGATATGTTGTGAGCCAATTGCGCACGAAGGCCTCCACTCCTGCGTCATTCATAAAACGCTTTCCCTCCTAACGCCTTTTTGAGAAATCCAAACATGTGAAAGTCACATGGACTTAAGTCTGGATTTTAAGAGGGATGTTCAAGTGCAACCCAGGAAATTTGCTCCAATTTTGAAGCATTTGATTTACCGTGTGTGGCCGAGCGTTATCGTGGAACAAAATCACGTCTCTGATCGGTTGGCGTCGTATTTTGATCCGATAAACAGCCTTAACTTCGTCAAAGAGTTGGCAGTAGTACGTAATGCGTCGGTTGGTCTTCAGAATGTCACGAACCGCACGAATATTGTCTTTCGATAGACTTGTCCTGGGACGGCGATCGAGATTCTCATTTTTGATTCTTTCTCTCTCGTCCTCCAGAGAAAGTCTTGTATCAAAAGAACATACGGAGTTGTAAGAGGATTGATTCTCCGAATTGTTGGCGTAATCTACGGAGAATCTCAAGAGACCAAATCTCCTTCTTCGTCAGAAATTTAATTATGATCCGTTGTGTAATGAACTTCTTTCTCGCTTATTTTGCTGTAGATTACCGTACCGAATCAAAGATGCTCTCAAGTTAGAAATCCCCTTCTAATATCCCCATCGAGATGTCTTTAACGTTGCATCATCCTACTTTACCCTCTCTAGGCTTCATAGAGAAATTCTCATTTATATTTGATCCTCATATATACAGGATGTCCAGAATTTAAATGTCAAACAAAATTTTGGGAGCATAAGGCAGGACATAATTGTTTCGTTTTTGGGAGTGGAGGAGTAGCATCACATGACTACCCTAATCACCTGATCTGATACCATTGGACTTTTTTGTGTAGGGGGTCCTGAAGCAGGAATTATTCATTGTCAATAAACTCAAAAGAACAAATGAAAAATCTAATCGAAGCTGCAGTGTACCAAACACAACACATCACCAGATCAGTGTTTGGTTGCAACAAAAGCTGTCCATATTACAATAGATACAATGCTTGCATTACTGCAAGAGGCCAACATTTTGAACAATATCTACACTAAGCAAGTGAATAAATACAACGTGAATAAGTAAAACATAATAAAAAAAAGTACAAAGATAAACTACGTTTTATCTTTTTTGCGATTTTCTCCAAAATAAAACAAAAACGAATATATTTCTACAGGACTTTTTTTTCTTAAGCCAGCGGCATATGATGCTTGTTTTTCTGCTAAGTCGCTAGCTGGATTACAGTCTTATCACCATATAACACGGTGGTAAGAACCTAATCCAGTTAACAATCTAGCAAGAAAATAAACATCGTGTGCAGCAGGCTTTAGTATATTGATTCCCTATACGTTCCCAAAGCTTGGACTTTTAAATTTCGGACATCATATATTTTCGAGTTAATTTTTTCTAATTTAATCATTATTTTACCTTCAAACAAAGAAAAAGGTCTATCAGGAGATCGATTTTGATGTAATCCATAATCAAAACACCATTCAGCAAATTTACAGGCCCGATACAAGTATTTGATATCCTAAAATGAATATAATAAATTAAATACACGGTAAATGTTTTGTTTAAGGAAACCGCTTTCAATGATCTTGATCTTGATCACAATTATTATTTGTTTACTTATATGCATATGAAGATTATGCCTCAAATTTATTAATAATTATTAAGTTATAATATAATACTATTCTATATACTAAAAACACACACACCAATAAAAACTAATTTAAAAGTAATGAAGTATTTTCAATGTCCAGATTTTTTTAAATAAACAAAAGTCATTTTTAATGTATAGATATTACCAATAAATATTGTTTTTAATATATTTATGTCATATTAATTTTTGGATATACATGTACATTCAAAATGAATTTTTTCAGCTTTAAAATTTTTTTAGCTGATGTATCAGTGTAAAAATTTGATTCGAATTCGATTAGTTTCTTAATCAAAAGGATTCAGTTTCACTTGGCGTGCGGCGTAAAAATTTCAGATTTAATTCGTTTCCGAACAAGACAGATTCGATTTGACCTTGCAACTTTTGCAAATGGTTGATTCGCACACATCTAATAAAAACATTACATATATGATCAAATGTGTAGCATCAATAAAGTTCGTATTCGCAGTATGCAAGCTATCGAATTTGTTATCAAATACTTGTATTCCATAAATATTCAAGAAATAAAATCAAACCTTTGTTTGTTGGAATAAGTGTATAAAAGAATAACCATTTCCAGCAACACCATGACAAATACTATATCCTTTTCTTAATAGTCCTCGTGCCCATATTACTTCTCCGCATTGTATCGCAGTCTCTAGAAATGTAATGTCTTCAAACACCTATAATTACATCAATAATAATAGATGTTACTTTAGAGGCTCCCGCGGATATTTTCTTCAAAAAAGCTATGCAGTTTGCGAGTTATTTGTCTCGATACATTGTTAAATGGCCCATGCTTCGTAAACATTTCACTTCATCGGGGCGTGAAACAATCTAATACTAAATCGTTATCGCTGATCAACATATATAAAAGCTTTAAAAAAATGTTTATAATTAGCATTAGATTATATTTCTTTCCTGATAAAGTAAATTGAAATGTTTACAAATCAAACGATATATCAAAAACACATATTTATATATCTAGACTGCTAACTCAATGTGATAGAAAGAGATGAACCTAATTCCGAATTATCCTTATTTCTGTTCACATATGTGTATGTATGCATCTGTCTTATATAAGTCTATGATCAAGAAATAGAAATACACATAAATTACATAGCTTCTTTGACTGAACAGACGTTTTTTACTTAAATACTTTTATTAAATTAATACAATAAATACTACATAAAATATATACCACCTTATAAGCCAAACAAAATAATGCAGACATTCCAGGTGCTCCATGACACCAGTGTATCAATCTGTCAGAAGAATTGTCAACTGAAGAAGGAAAATTTCCAGAAGCAAATTGTAATTTTTGAAGATAATACAAAGATGGTTTAACGTAATTATCAATCTGTACTTGCGTTAAATATTGTTGTGCCTACAAAAAGAAAAATTTTGATTAAGGAGAGACTAAAGACAAGAAAAATGTAATATGCTTTAAAGTATTAATATAAAATGATAAAATAACAAGTAATAAAAATATTCAAATAATAAATAAATTACAAATAGTAAATAAATTCAAATAATGTGTCATTTTTCACAAAATACTTTTATAACATACCTGCAAGAGCATATATAATATACCTGCTAACCCATGAGCAGCACCAATATATTCTGTATCATGCCAAGAATACATTAAAGGTGAATTGCTACGATGTGATGTAGCATATGATATCCCAGAATTAATTATACAAGAAACAACCTACAAATAATTTTAATACGATATAATAATTAATAATGGACTTCTTGTATTTCAATAAAACGAAAAAAATTCAAATTGGCAAATAGGAGTCAGCGCGGTAAGAAGTGAACAAATTAATTGAATAAATATTTACTGAAACGTATAATACGTAATTACATCAACGATTGATATTTGTAATTTCATCGACGTTTAATATTTCCGGATTTAACTCTGTCATGTTCTGATTGATTCAAGTTTAAACGTTGTTATCTTTTAAGGATATTTGAGCATTACTTTGGAGTAAAAAAAAACAACTAAAAGAAATTATCATTATAGCGATTCGGAATCATGCGCAATATGAGTGTAATAAATTTAGGATATTATTTATATACTGTATTCTTACAAGTAAATTATTAGTGAATAGAATATTAACAAATGTCAACGACTCGAGAAGTCGAGTATACACTTGTTGCACTTTGCGACGTGACTGGCAGTGACAGACTATGGCAATCATGGCGAATTATAAGGGAGAAATACAGAATCGGACAATAAAGCTTTAAATTCATATGGTCAAATCCGATTTTCCTGTTTTATATACAATTGTTGATATTTCATCTGTCAAATCCTAGTTTTTCAAAGTCCTAAGTTGGCTGAGTGTATATAAAATGGTGGTTATCTACTTCGGAACGACTGCCTCCCATAAGACGCTATGTTAAAATGGTCAATTTCAGAATGACATTACAAAAAAACTATACGGTCAATATTGCTCAAATTATGGGATTATTTGTATACAGTGTTTATCTACATAATATTAAAAAATTAAGTCTTTAAACTGGATTTCGACTAACGCTCGAACCTCCTTAAGATCTTTGTAATTTGACGATTTTCTATATTTATTTTTGGAGACTAATTTTAAGTGAACTTAATGTTTTTTTCCTTTTTGGACCATGGTTCCGCTTGATAACATAATTTCGCTACCAATAAGCATTGAAACTTCTTTGACTGTTAATTGTGCTTCCTATTGGTTAGTGTGAGATTGATTGTTAATGTTCTGCTGAGGATAGCTAAAATGTATAACCGAAATGTTCGGAAATATTAAACGTCGATGAAATCACGGAAATATCAATTGTTGGAGTAATTACGCATTACACGTTTTAGTAAATATTATTCAATTAATTTGCGCACTTTTTACCGTGCTCTAACTCCTATTTGCCTATTTTAATTTTAATATAAATGAGAATCTTATTTTCTTTTCAATAACGATAAATAAAATTAATGGTTTCATATTTTTTAACAAAAATCAATTAACACGCTCTCTTTTATATATATAATTCTTACGACACCTTTTTGATAAGATCTGCTTCTATAGGAGCTGGAAGTATGTTTGAATTTAAATAAAGTAAACCAGATAAATATCCAGCTCTTCCATATAATAATTCATCAGGGATATCGCTATGTTTATCCAAAACATAAGTAGATAAAGACTTCAATCTACAAGAAATTTTTGTTTATCAATATATGTCATGGTTAAAGTCATCGATCTGATTCTTCTATTCTAAATAATTATCTATTTTTATTAATCAATATTAAGACAGCATTATTAAATTCATAATTAAATTCAATATTCAATCTTTTGTAAAAATAATTAAATTCACAATTTATGGCCAGTATTAATAAGTCAGTTCTTGTATAATGACAGTCTTAAATACAGCCTTAAGATGTTACAAACTGGTCACGAAACCATATCAGCATCTTAAAATATTATGTATGGATATAAATATGGATCCAGCAATTATGTAATAATTTACGTGTAAATATATTTAAAAATGTGTAAATGTTTTAGTATAAAAATATTAGAATAAAAATTCATGACTTTGCATTTTCAAAAACATTTGCAATTTAAATATTATTAAAAATTATTATTAAATACTTACTTAAGAATTAATTGCTCTGCTTGTTCTTTCTTTTGTTGTGAGTGTAGTATAACTGCTGTTAATGCTAATGAACCTACAATTCCAGTTAGAAATGTGATTTCATGTCGGCTTTTGAATTCTGTAGCACATCTTAGCAATATTTCTGCTGCCATCTATAAAATTTATCATATCACTATATGTAATTTTAAATGAAAAGCATATTTTTACATTTTATAATTACATTGGTATATTCAGAATCATTATAATATTTTCCATAATGGTACAATGTATATGCAATTCCTGCTTGTCCAGTGTACACAGAATAGTCGTTTCTGTCAGACCATTTTCTTTTATTTTTTTTCAACACTTCTATAAAATTCTTAATTTTTGATGTTAATAATGACTTAAATACATCATGAATCTAAAAAAATTTATTTTTATTTATCAAATATGTATCATATACAATCACTTATCTATCCAAAATCTTGACCACTAATAATTTTAAATATTTATTAAATTATAAAATATATATAAACAAAAATTTTGTACCATGTTGGTGTCATCCTTAACTATGTTATGGCTAACCAGAATGGAATAATCTTCAAATTGATTTTTGTAATGCCTAGTGGTATCCATTATTAGTGGTATACGAACAAAATTTTTGTAATTTTTGCACCTTTTCAACACAATAAAATTACATATATAAAATCTCTGAAACTTTATATTAAAATAAAATATGTACAAGTTATAATATACTACCAAAAAACCAGTGCTTTAAAAACAAATTCTCTGCTCTAAAACACATAAGAGAACAGAATTTGTTTTGATCAAAGTAATGAATTTGTGTTAGAACAGAGAATTTGTTTTTAAAGCACTGATTTTGTGTTTGTAGCAGAGAATTTATGTAATTAAAGCAGAGAATTATATTTAAGTACTAATTAATAATTTCAATAGTTAGAACTTTAACAATTACTTAACATCTCAGTTTGCAAGGCAGAACGATGCTTTTTTTATGCCAGATTTTTTTGTTTCATGCAAAAACGCATTGAGTATATTTTTGAAAATTTGAGTGGTATGGGATCTTAACATTTACTAAAAATTTATTTTAACACATTACACTTCAATTACTTTTCATAAAATTGATTTTTTTTTTATGCATTTGTTGAATCAAGAAAAAAGTTTTTTCACACTTTATTTGTACCACGCAACATGTCCATTTTCATGAGCCGTCTACAATTAAAAAATGAGTTTTTTAATTTTTTTTTTCATGTAAGAAATGATCCTGGATAGGTCTTTCAGATTTAGAAAACATCCAAACACACACACACACACACACACACACACATCTTTTTTTTCCATAACTCAACAAATACATGGAAAGAAATGTCGGTTTTTTTTTTTTTTTAAATAACCAAAGTTTGATGAGTTAAAATAAATATTTTTAGATTTTTAAACTTTGTATTTCCTAAAATAGGGAAATATATTATACTTTTAGACTAATCTTTACATGCATATACATATGCGCGTGAACACATACCATGCATATACACATACACGCCATGTATATACTATCATACATTTTTCTCAATAACGATGTATCAGTAATAAACAAAAACCCAATTTATTAAAAGAATAAACTTTCCAGAAATTATAGAGCAACAATTAGTTATAATTGTAAAGCAAAAATTAATAATTAGTCTCATGGAGAGATTTGTTAAGGATAACGAGAATTCCAATATATCCAAAATTTAATCAATTCTTGATTAATTTTTCAACTGTACAAAACTAATTTCCATAAGGTTAGTGCAGGATCCTTTTGCATGTATTTTTCTACATGAAACTTTAAACTAAAAACTGAATATTGCTCCTTCTGTACTATTTTCAAGAATTCTTTCAGAGTTACTCTCACCAACTTCTAAGTTTCTTGCTTGGATTTCCGACCCAATATAAAGAGGAGTCACAATAACTATATAAAGAAATGGATACTCTTGGATACCCTCACCAGTTGACCGAATTAAAGGATTTGAGCTTTTAACTTCTTTTTAATATTGATAAATCCACGATGCCAAATTACCTCTGGTCGCCGAAGTAATAGACTAGTGGAAGTGGATAATTACGTATTGATAATATTGATATTGATTCTTTTGTAAAACCAGAGAGAAATCTAAGAGCGGTCATCCCGGTCTTTTTCCTATAATGCAGTTCTAACCCCCGTACATTAGCGGCACCAATATCCATTTTCGAGCTGCAGTAACTACATATCACGTTCATTTTTGTGACACGCCGATAAAATCGTATCGTTGAAAGTAAACGTGGTCCACAAATTATGCATGGATGTAAAGGAAAAGTTTTTTTTCGACGTTATTGAAAAATCACACAACATCGAACAAGAACTTTTTCTTTACATGTTAAAGCCCGATCTACAATTGCGTAAACGTAGTTGTAAGTGGTTGTGTAGTTATAAGAATTGACCAATGACAGTCGAATATTCTCCTCGTATTCAGGAGTGTTTGGTTTAGGGCGCCTGCGTCTACGGCGTCGTCACGTCGCAATAACGCGGCGTTATAAGAGCCCTTCGTCGAAAAATGCAAAATGACGAACAATCGAGACGAGCTCGTCCGCGGCAGAGAAGCTGATTTTTCATGTGCAGCACGCTGCGGCAGCAAAATGTCATGTGATACAAATTTTCGAGAACTGATTGAAAGTGCGTTACAGTGCGTCACCTAACAAAAGATTTTTAACCAATAATAACATTTTGCTGCCGCAGCGTGCTGCACATGAAAAATCAGCTTTATCGATAAAAGTGCGTTCTGAATACGGGCTATATGATTTTCCCCCCCAAAAATCCCCGAAACAAATTTTCCCTTATTTTTCCCCGCATTCTTCGTCACCCCGATTGTCTCTCCCCGTTAGTTAAAAAATTCCCCATTTTGAGGAAAAAAACCCCCAATCTGGCAACCCTGCTACTTGGGTGCATTCGAAAGCACGATCGCTCATTGAGCGTTCAGTGAGCACAGCTCTTGTACCTGTTTGGTCTATATTTTTAGATCTAATGGAATATGCCAATCAGATGCATAAAGCTTGGATGCACCTTTACTCTCCTTTTTTTTGTTTTTGATCAGGAAAAGTAATATCCGTGTCCCTCCTCGCTCTATACGGCTTGCGCTTTGCGCTGCGTCGTTGCCATCTTTGTCGTCTCGTGTACTCCCGTCTCGTTACATGTTCCCGTGTTTCTTGTACGTTTAGCGGTTACGGTGTGTCTGACTAAGATTTCGAGCATTCGCATTTTGTGGCACCTGCGTGTGCGTTCACGATAGCATTTAAATCACGTTTAAGCTTCATAATGAGTACTGATAGTATCGAAAAGCTGTATAGAAATTTCGGCATTCTTGCTGATGCCAAAGATAAACTCGTACAGGTATGTGTAATTTGTTGGTTACATCGAGCACCGGTCGCATCCAGTCAATACTATACGTAGTCGAGATTTTGTTTCTAATGTGCTGACAATCGGCGCTACATTTTACTGAGCGTGCAAATTGTTTCTATCGTTTAAAGCATTAAAACGCATTTTTAAATGCTGGAAATGCGTGTAGCGTTTTGTCCACATCGGATTACCATACAGTCTAAATTATCAAAATTGAATTTTTTTTTGTTTATTTTTAATATTCTCTCTGTGAAGGACTCGATACTGTAATAATTCGCTGAAAATGGTTTCTGTGAAAATTCGCTATAGTCATTCACTAAATATTACAAATATAATAAACATGACAGTTAAATTGTCATTATTTTTAATTGATTTATAATTACCGCGTTCTGCAGAATGTTTATTTTGCAACTATTGGAAATTTTCTCATGTTGAAGGAATTGTACTTTTAAAAAGACCTATGCTGCTTTAAAAAATTTTACCTGGGTACATCCCTGTGTTATTTTATCCTTATTTGTTAAATAAAAATACATTGCTATATCCAGATGATAGTTTTTGAACACTCCTAAAGGAATAATTCTTTGTCAAAAAAGAAAATTCCAATAGTTATAAAATAAATTATTTGCTGAACATAGTCGTTAGTCCATATAAGCGTAGTTTTCCATAGTTAAGAGTAATTTATTTACTTCAGCTTATATGTCAAATAAGAAGAGATTTGATTTAGATACAATATAAATTTAATCATATACATTCATCTTTGTAAATTAATGGTTAACTCTCTAAATCCAGTTAATAATTTACAGTATGTTATAAATGTGTAGTATGCATTGATTTTTCTTATCACAATACACCTAACATAGTCTTTGCTATCTATTGCTATCGATTACTATACTATTGCATAATTTTATCAAAATTGAAGCTGACAAGAAATTCAGGACAATAAACCTAAAATCTAAATACTTTATCAAACAGCCTAAATGACATTAAAATCTATAAACAATTAATTTTTATTGTGAAAAATATTACCTCAAGTCAATATTATCTGGAATCAAGTTTACATGAAATTATACAAACATCTAAGATCCAGTTAGATGATTAAAGGTATTATTTCTTATTGGTTGTGTTTTCATAAGTATAATCCTTTAAGAGATTTAATATTCAATATTATTATATAAATTTTGATTAAATGAATTTGTTTTCATAGACTATATTTATGTAATATTATGTTCTATTAATAGTTTTTCTTATGTTAGTGTAACATTTTTTGAAGTAATTCCCTATATGAAATCCTGCTTCTCTCGTGTGTTGTTGCAGAGATATCCTGATTAATAATAAAAAATACTAATTAAAAATTATAAATTAAACTTAATATACCTCCCAGGTCAAAAACTAATTGAGCTATACTAGTTGTTAAAAATATATATAAATTTATTATTAATAATTACATCGGTATATACGGAAAAGTTTCGACTTCACAGAGTCCTCAACAATCGCAACCGAATTCTTACAAATTAATTAATTTTTTTTTCTTTTTATATTATTTTTTTAATTTTTTTGGTTTATTGCGAAGAATATCACAAGTCGGCGTTTCGTTTTTGTTAGAAATATATATAAATTTATTAATAATAAATTTATATACATATATTTCTAACAACTAGTATAGCTCAATTAGTTTTTGACCTGGGAGGTATATTAAGTTTAATTTGAAATTTATTTGTGCGGATATTAATTCAATTAAAAATTATAATTAAATATAGTATAATAATATATCGATAATACTAAATCAACTTCGTTTCAATTGTATTAAATTGACTTGCCTGTTTTGAAAAAACAATTTTAATTGACTATTCCTACAGATCAAAGGCTTTAGCTTCATCTTTTAGTTTTTAATTGTTTTTCAATAAATTTTTATCTTTACAATTGTGTGTTTTAATAAAGATCACATTGTTATATTCCTTAATATAATGTATTATACATTTAACAGTATCTGGAACTTGATAAACAAATTTTCTGAGAAAATATAATATTTTTATAAGAAAGTATTGATGATAATATATATATTTTATAATTTAAATTTATTGTGGGAACTTTTTATTGCTCTTGCAAGTTATATTTTGTTTATATTGTAGCATGAAAAGGAATATCTAGAAATTTTGACGGCAGTTAAAGGGTCACCTAAGGAAAAACGGCTAGCATCGCAATTTATTGCAAGATTCTTCAAACATTTCCCAAAGTTAGCGGATCAAGCTATAGATGCTCATTTAGATTTATGCGAAGATGAAGACATGGCTGTAAGTTTTCAAATAAAAGATTGAACCGTTTTCAGTTTTGAATGTACTTAATTCAGTAGCTGAAATAATAAATTGCATATATTGCACAGGGTGTATACTAAGTATGCTAAAAGATTTTAAGGGATGATTCCTCACAAATTTAAGATGAATATGATGATGATATGTCTAAAACAGCTTAATTTCAAAGATATAAAGTTGTATTAGTTAAAGGAAAAATTTTATTTTTTTTATACATATAATTTGAATGATTTCTGAAATTTTGGAAAAATTAAAATTTTTTTGTAGCCAATATGAAATTTTTATCTTGAATATGTGTAAAGCATCACTCCTTAAAATCTTTTAGCACACATAGTATACACCTTGTACAATACACTTATTTTCTTTTACAGATTCGAAAACAAGCTATTAAAGATTTACCAGCACTTTGTAAAGACAACAAAGAACATACAGCACGAATTGCAGATATCTTAGCACAATTGTTGCAAGCTGAGGATTCTTCAGAACTGGCAGTTGTACATAACAGTATTATGTCACTTATGAAAAGTGATCCTAAAGGTATTATTTAATAAATTACAGTAATACGTATAAACCTTCACACTTGAATTAAATTTTGCATTTGTGTGATCAATTTATGATTATATATTTAATTATTGAATTATAAAACAAGTTTATATTTATAGGTACCTTAAGTGGATTTTTTAGCCAAATTATTAGTGGCGACGATGGGACAAGAGAACGTTGTATAAAATTTCTAGCTATTAAGCTTAAAGCAATAGGACATGACATTATCACGAAGGAACCGGAAGATTTACTAATAGTAGAATGTAAAAAAGTATTGCAGGTAATTTTCTATGATTTTTAATATAATGTAATGCATGTATATATCTGTTTTTTTTTATAATTAGCGTATTTTTAGGATGTGACTGCTGACGAATTTCACAGTATTATGGAAATTCTTGCATGGACTAGATTGGGATCTACTATCACTGGACAACAAGAATTGGTTGATATTACGATAGAACAAGCTGAACTATCTGTACCTTTTAAGCACACTAATGTCGAACAGTGGAATAGATTGGTTCAATGTGTTAAACATGCTGTCCCATTCTTCAGTGTACGTATACATATGTATTCTCGCATTTTTAATATTTCTTCAGATGTGATTTAATATTTTAATACATATATGTTTTTATATATTTTTTATTTTTCATAATTAATATATTTAATATTTTATCTGTATTTCAATATTTTTATCCTTTTTTAGTCACAAATAGATTCATCAAAATTTGTTTCATACATTTGTGTACAAGTTTTACCGCACTTGTCTTTGATGACTTCTCCCAATAGTAGAGATATTCAATTGGAACTGTTAAAATTGCTTGCTGAATTAACCGTGTTTTGTGGAACTATTGAGAAACCTGAAGATAAGGTTCAACAACTTTACAATACTCTTATTGTAAGTATTATATTTTTATCAATATATGCACAATTTGATTATATATTATCTGTATTTTTGTGTATGTATATCGTAATATCTAATGTTTATATATTTTGTTGATCAAAATTATCAAATTTTATCAAATGTTATAAAAATTATTGCTTATTATTTTTTATTTTATTTATTTCAGACTTATATGCCACTTCCTCCAGCTACAGAAATTACTGATGTACCAAAGTTACAATTTAGTCATGTGGAATGTTTAATGTACGCCTTTCATAAATTGTGTAAACAAACTCCTGAATTTTTGATGAAAGATGCAGAACAGCTCAAAGAATTCCGATTAAGATTACAATATTTTGCAAGAGGTATTCAAGGTTATATAAAGAAATTACGCGAAGCCATTAGCGGAAAAACAGAAGAAGAACTAAAATCTGAAGAAAATCAGTTAAAAGTTGTGGCATTGAAAACAACCAATAATATCAATACTTTAATCAAAGATCTGTTTCATTCACCTCCTAGCTTTAAAAGTATAATACATCTCTCGTGGAAAACGCCTTCTAACGATAAAAAGGTTATTAGTTTTCAATATGTTAGTTTTCAACGTTAGATTCATGAGTGCTTTGACTTGCAATATGTTGATTTTGTTAATTTGTGTCCATTTAGAGCGATAAAAATTCTGCCCAAAAAAGACATACACCAATTACATTTGGAAATGATAACAGTCCGAATAAACGTAGTAAGGAAGATAAAAACAGCAAAAGGGAAATATATACTCCTCCAAGTGGTAAATATAGTTCAACCATATCAAATTATGGTGAGTAGGCAAATGTATTGAAATTTGAAGGAAACATTTTAGTTTATTATATTATCATCAATTTTACTTATCATTTTTAGGTCGCGGTAGATTTAAAGGCAACAGATCTAGAGGAAGAGGTGGATTCAGAACAAGAGGTCGTGGTTCATGGCGAAAGAATTTTTACTAAATATAAAATTCCTTACAATTGGAAACAGCTAAAATTAGAGTGATGGCGTTAAGCACTTATTTGCTTCCTGATACCAACAAATGAAAAAAAATTCATTTTCAAAGAAGTTATCACCAAATTTAACTTTGTTAATCTTCATCGCTACATATAACAGAAGTGATAGTTTGAAGACTTTGATGAATTATCAAAACAGAAATCAGAAAATCAATAATTCCCCAAGCATTCATTAATACTTGAATGATACGGGAAGGAGATTTGGAGATGCAATTGTAGCCTTATATGAATATTTGTGTTTAATTATTATAACATGAATTGCAATGAAAATTCAAAATATTTCATATTATTATTATATAAAATTATGAAGAGACAGATAATATAGGGTACATACGAATATATTTTCTTGACATATAAGAATGTCAAGAAAAAAATATTGATTGACGGATTTCACATGAAGGTGGAACTAATATAAAAAAGAAAAAAGAAGATATTTTTCGTGGACACAAAATCAAAATGATATTATTTAAAGAAATTGAAGAAAGTTCGACGAGAAAATACGTATACAAAAATGAAAATGCCACATTATCGAATTCAAGTTTAAAACCATGCAATTGAGTCACTGAACATGAATATATCGATCACAATTACAGAAGCACGGTTATATAGATACAGAAATAGTTTTTCCCTGTAAAAAAAAACTTTAAGATATTACAAAAATATAATCTCCTGTAGCCATTCCTAAATTAGCTTCCTCTCCTCCCTTCCTAAACCTTTATATTTATTGATATTTGTTGATATTTATCTGTTGACAGAATCGAGTTGTGCATAACAGGGAACGCAGCCATGCATAACAACTGTTTTATCGAAGAAACACTTGATAAATAATTTTTGATAGGAGAAATATTGACCTTGTTCAACAGAAAAAAAGCAACTTTGTGACTGTTATAAAATTCTTTAACATGATTAGTTTTGCCGTTAGTTTCTTACTGGATCTAAATAAATAAACCAATCATGTTGAAGAATTTTGCAACAGTTGCAAAGCTGCTTATCTGCTGAACATAGCCATTGTGCGCACAATAAATTTAACATTAAACTTTATATATGCTTATGTAAATGAAATAAATTTCGAATTTTATATATATATATATATGTATTTATACATATATATATAAAATTTGAGATTTTTTGTTTTAATTTGCACAAGCATTTAAAAAGTTAACAAATACATATATCGCTCTCTTCAAATTTTTTAAATTTCTTTGTATTTTATTTAAGATGATATAATATTAAAAGTACATATTTTCAATATAAGTATACATTTAATTGTGAGAAAAAATGTTTCATAATTCTGTGTTTTTTCGATAAATAAGGATGACGAGTAATAAAGAAGCAACTATGATACTGTTCGTTTTTTTTATAGGAAACATATATTAACGGAAGGCTTGGAAATTGGAGGGACTTGGAGACTTATAAAATACTTGATACACACATACGTTTTTTTTTCTCATTACAGACTTTCAGGACGAATGTAGAAGCAGAGACTAGTTGGAGAAATTAATTAATATTTTCTTTTCAGAGGAGTTGCGATGGATACATGTTTATTATTATATGTATGTATGAAATATGTCTCCTTCTCTCATGTGATTGCTGTTTGTGAGGTGAGTTCAAGAGGTATTCTTCTCCATCTTTCCTTTCCCTCTATCCATCATTATCATGTAGAAAAACATGTATTTTATCCATAAAAAAATTCATAAATATGTTTCTGATTATCTCAATAAATAACATTATTTAATACTATGTGGTGTTTTTTTTTTTTACCTAATAAATGCAAGAAGTGAGAAAATAATAAAAAGGAAGTGACTGATTTAGGCTGGATTCTTCTACTTTTCGATGAATTTCAGCTTACTCTTTTATTCTCTTAACTCTCTTAGACCTAATTTAACAACTAACGGTTAACTCTTAATCAAGGCTTAACTTATTCTTTACCTCTTTCTAATTCTAGGAAAGAGATGAGAAATAAGTTGAACCCTCTGTTCATAGTTAACCATGAGTTGTGAAACTGGACCTTACTGTTTTACTCTTTTATTTTTATCTAGTAGATAAATTATTATATAGTTTATCCAAAACCGGAACACAATCGGTTCTTAGTAAGATAAATTAATTAATTCTAAGACAAATAAGTAAATTATTATTACAGCTATGTTCAGCAGAGAAATCAGCTTTACGACTGTTGTAAAATTCAATATGGATGATTTGTACATTTAAATCTAATAAAGAATCAAAAGCAAGATCCAATCCGTATTGAAGAATTTTACAACAGTTGCAAATCAAATTTCTTTCATTACATTGTTGAGGACTAAAGTATTGATTAATATTCTGTGTTTTTTAAGTTCTAACTTTGTGTTTAGACTTATATCTTCACATATTTATGTATAAACTGGTATATTTATAAAACGTTAAATGTGTGTATGTGTGTGTGTGTGTGTGTGTGTGTGTGTGCGCGTGCGTGCGCGCGCGCTTGAATTACATGTATGGTAATCTTAGTCTTGCTAAATCCAAAATATACATCGAGTAACATATTTGAGTTATACATATATAAATTTTATCAAACTTATGTATTATAATGTATAAAAAAATAAAATATTAGCTTTTTTAATATGAAATCTTTCTATTTGTGGAGAGTATTGTTTTTGTAGATGAATGCATGGATATATATATTATACAAGATATGTCTAGACATTCATGACTACCATAGAATCCTACATCTAAAGAAGGTATTTTTTTTTTAATATTATAATTTTTTTTATTAAATAACTAATAACATTTTCAAAAACATCGTTATCTATTATCGTGATATACAATTATTTCAGAGTATTCCTTGATATATTAATTTGCACATTAAAAAATAAAGAGCGATATCTTAAAACAGTCCATTCGAGGAAAGCATATCGTCTATGACTTTGCACATAATACGATCGCTTGAACTACAAGGATCCTGCGTTTGTTGTTCAAAGCCTAAATTGTCTATGGATTCTATAGCGTCTGTGTTTATCGCAAGCTTGGAGTCCAATTCCGATGTATCAGGAAGCATCTGTAAGGCATGCTGAAGTATTTCTTGAACCTGGAATAATATTAATATTCGCCACAATAGTGAACATTATATATAAACATTATTATGAAGGTTGAAAAGAAAAAATTCAATGCTAATAAGAAATATACCTTATCAAGATGTTTCTGAAAACGCAGCGCTGTTTCATGACGTTGCCTACGTTGTAGTTCCATCATAACTCGCAACGTTTCTCTGGCTTGATGCGGTCGAAATTCATTTAGCAGGTGATGAATATGAATAAATAATAGACTGAGATCCTCAACCTGTAAGAATGTCGGTTGTTTCATCATATAAAGGCCATAGAACAATGGAAAATGTAGAAAGCAGCAAAACTAAAGCTGTGAGCAAATCGATCATACATACATACACACAATTACTAAAGTAATTTAATTATTAAGTCAATTATTAAAAATTAATAAAGTAGAGAATGTAAGACAATAAACAGTAATAAATAAAAAATGTTGCTTAAGTTTTAAGGCTACGTCACATGAAAAAAAAAACATATATAGTAAGTAAACAAACATTTTGGAGATTTGCTGTTGCTCATGTTATTGCTTCTATTATGATTGATTGATATTGCCGTTTTAAATACTAAATAAAATTATAAAATCACTTAAAAAATATAGTTACACGTTAGAAAAAAAAAACAGATACAATTAATGAAACCATACCATAGAGATTGAACAATATAATATTATAAAAAAATTAAGTCTTTATTTTTGTCATCGGTAAATAGACAAAAATTCAACAATCAACGTATCTTCTTAATAAATTATTTTTACAGATTTTTGAGCAAACAATTTATATTATATTATTTTAACACATTTGACACTATATTATTAATTGTTCTATAATAGAATTAAATTGTTGCATTTGTCAAAAGATTTCTATCTATAAAGGTAGTTGTAAACAATCAAAATATAGTACAAAGCTCATTTCTATCAATAACAGTTTAATCTCAGTTCACTAACTCTTAATTTTTTTTTCTAATTTTCTAGTAAGAATTAAAAAATATGGAAAGTTGAACTGAGATAAAATTTAATCCATGTTGGTAGAAACTGGCATAAGTACTAGATTCTATTCAGTTTCGTTGATCAACTCATTAGATATTAAAACAACATAGATGCTTTTTGCTATGAAAAATAGTACCAAAATAATACAAATATTAAACATTTTAAAAATAAATTCTGGTTTTCTTTTTTTTTTTTTTTTTTTTTTTTTTTCAATTAAAAATTTCACTTCAAAATAAAAAGCTGTTTTTTAAATCTCTAAACGAAAACAACAGGACTTAGTTTTTTGAATGAAAAATATAGCGTACTTTCTCTGCGCGTCTTGGGCTATCAGGGCACTGGACAAGAAGGTCTATTAAATCCAGGAAATTGACGAGCAACGAGTGATTCAGCTTCTTCAACTCGCGCCGACGATCAAAGTGTTGCGGGTACAACCTTTTGATACCCTGAGCCTCGAGAGGTCTAATGATCGTGTCATCGGCGTTGAACATATTGCTGAACATGGAATAGTTGTCGTGGATCGGCGGCGGCGGCCGCGGAGCTCGTCCACGCCGTACATTCTCGTCCGTGTAGAGATTGATGTATTGGACGGGCGGCAGCGGCAGAGAGCTGACCTGTATCGCTTCGGGGGCCGTCATTCTCGATTCACCTCGTATCACACCTCGATATCGGCGGCGGAGTCGTCAAGCCGCAGAACAGGTTATGGTACCTTTCTCAACTTCCTTTGAGGTTAACGGACAAAATCCATAAAAAATGGCGGACGAATGTTGACATTTCTCGAAGATCCCTAGGAACCATAAATTGACGTGGACACTGGGAATCGTCGTAATCTGTATCGTGTTATGCCCATGCAGACAGCAGGTACAAAGAGCCAGCGAGTAAAGCAAAACAAGACGATCGTAGTTGATCCTAGTCGGCCATCTTGTTACATATGGCGGTACGATGCTACGCGGGTCAACAAATGTCTCGTCTCGCTTAGATTATCTTCGCAAGATCCATTTTTCTCTCCGATATTCACCGATATTCTCTCTCTCTCTCTCTCGATCCCATGATGAAAGCAGAGGTGAAGCCGGCGGGCACGGGCCGCGTCAACTGGTGTTGACCAGCGTGGTAAGGCATTTCCTGACATCTTGCCAATTTCCCCGACGTCGCCGGCGGCCGCGCGGCGCCGCGAAACGTCCCCGTTTTTGACAGATTGTGTGTGTTCCACGTGAACTCTTTGTTTGGGCGCCGGGAATGCCGGGATGATCGCGTGGTGGTAGCCGCACCGGCCATACGTTCGTCGCATGGTAAGAGACGCGATTCGGAGAATTCGAATTCGCACTTGAGACGTGCTCGATATACCACTCTTGGGAGTGTCCGTGTCGTTCTTTCTCGATCACTGCGTCTCGTCGCCTCCGCCGCGCCCGGATCGTTTCCGATGACGGTGTCGTTGGTTATAATCGCCACCCTGATCAGACACGTGAGCGCCTGCGAGCGCCGCATCACTCTGACGCGACGCACGGGGGCGAGCGGGGGTTATGAGACGAGGAAAAAGGTGCTATATTTAGAAATTTCTTTCGCCTTTACTTATCTCGAGCAGACCGGATAAGCCGGATGAGAGAGACCTCGAATATATATATGTATGTAACTTTTTTTTTTCTGTCTAATTAGGATGTGTTGTGCAACAAGTATCGATTGTAGCTCCTCGTGCGATGGAATATCGACATTCCTCGACGATGGGACTCCGTCGTGTTGTCGTGTAGGAAAATGATGCTTTCGTTATTGTTGCTAGGGAGGCCCTCCTGTGATGGCAGGGAAAGATGGGAAGCTAGAGTCAAAAGGTGGAGATGTTATTCGGCAGGGATTCATGGTAAAACGTTCTCAGAACAAAAAGCGCTTTACTCCGGTCAATTACAAGCAACGATGGTTCGTCCTGACCAAGCATTATCTCATTTACTACGACGGGGATGGTGAGGTGAGTAATTTGAATGTATCCGAATGTTTTGCCTTTTGTCATAGTGACGGTCAACCTGTGACTTCGTTAGAAATCACATTTTCTGTTGTATTTTTTTTTTTTATGTAAACGAAATAAACATTAGTTGTTCATTTATGCTAATTTGTTTACGCTAACGAGACGTACATCTATCGAGCACGACAGTTGTTTTAATCCATCAATGTTGTCAGTGATTTTAGTAACAATTTACTAAAAGAAAATTTTTAAGTTTTGTTTAACAAGCAATCGCTATGTATAAAATTCGGTACAATATTTGGGTCACTATGTTCATAATGGACGAGCAATTACGTGTTTCCAAGAGGCATCACAAATACTATCCATCTCTCTTTTGAAAACTTTCCTCTTTACAGTTTTGCCCAAAATGCACACATATACTTAGAAAAGATTTATTTATTATAATTTTATTACAGAATCTGAAATTTCAAAAAAGTTGGATTACAAATCTTATAATTTTATGATTAATCATAAATTTAATTAGCTATTAAGCTAATTAAATTAGTAGGTAATTATTTGGCAACAATTAGGCGATTATGACACGCCCGATTGGATTTTATCCAAGAAACGAAAGCTCATTCAGAGGTTGAATAATATTTTTATTAAAGGGATAAAAGGATAAAAACAATATTAGGCATGTTACGATTAATAGCTAATTAAATTTATATATATGATTATGTATAATATTAATCACATTAAAATTGTAAGATTTGTAATCCAACTCTTTGAACAACGAGCAGGGTGACCGTTTCTCAATAACGCGTATGATCATATAACTAATACCAATCTCCGATCTCCGTGTTGCGCGCGAGGTACAATAGTAGGGAGGTCCTACTTTTGGTAGGAGATGGCGGATAACATACACCGTGTACCTATAAAATTAGTGGCGCAGGCGCCCCTCGTGAATTTTCCTACCTCTCCTTCCGCTTCTTCGTCGTCGATGCTGCTCAGTCAGAGTGGCCGTCGTTCGAGGTCGGTCTCGACGACGCACGATCTTTAGATTTCGCGCTTGGTATCGTTCTACAAATTGACGATTCCTCGGACGAGTCTATAACGTTTTAATCTCTCATATATTTCTCTCTCTCTCTCTCTCCGCCCCCCGCCGCCTCCTCTCTCTCGGACGACGAACAAAACAGAGGGACACCCGCGAACGTAATTTAGCCGTTCTCTTGGTGTCGAATCTGATTCGCGAGCCACCAATCGGAATACCTATCGAAACCATCTACACGACATCCCTCGTAGACTAATTGTGATCAGCTGTGATCTCGATCTTTTCGTGTCACTCCGATCCGAGAAAATCGTCTTTCACACGCATCATCTGTCATATACTGATCTCGGACTTTGCGGCCAACCTTGACGCAGTGATCCACGTGCGGATCCTACCGACTTGGTCATCCTGTTCACCGCGTCGCTCGCTCTACCGTACATCGTGGAGGTAAAGAGAGCCGAATTCAGATACTCTCCCTTTCGTTCCGTTTTTGTTTAATTGATTAGGATTAGTCAGTCCGTCATCAGATAGAAAATCCATGTTGCATGAACCCCTATGAATTCTGTTAGCTAGAAATATTTCCGAGAAAAGTCATTGAATGTCTCGTTCGTAAATTACGTAGATATACCATACCAATATTTCGATGATAGATCCACTTCTATTATGCTACGAATATCTTATTAGAATATATGGTTTTGGTTGATAAAAATCAACATCCGTGTGTTAAGTACATCCTTCGTCAACGAATATCACTATATAAGATCCGACACTTCCACAAGACTTCTAATTCCGATAATAATGTCATTATGTAATATATATTGTCCTTGACATTCTCTCTCTCTCTCTCTCTCTCTCTCTCTCTCTCTCTCTCTCTCTCTCTCTCTCTCTCTC